CGAGCAGGCGCCGCGCTGATTGGAGCGCGGCGCGCAGGGGCGGTGCCGCGCGGCGGGAGGAAGGCAGGAAGGAGGCGTCGGCTGCCCCCTGGCGTCCGGCAGCGGGAAGTGGGGCGAGCGCGGGGCCCCGGATGGGGAATGCGGGCCGGCGAAGCCCTCCGCCGTCACGCGCATGGCGCGGCCGATGCACCGTCGGGGCTGAACCAGCGGGCCCGGATCGGGTCGCTTGCCCCACCGGCACCGTGTTGGAGCCGGCCTGTTGCCGGGGCGGGGGTCACGAAACACCGGGCCGACCTGTGGCAGAGGCGGGCTGCGGGGGAGCCTTGCTGCTCGCAGCCCCGATCCTACCCTGGTGCGCTTGGAAAGGTCTGCTGCGCTCGATAGGGCGTCCCTGGCGTGCCGTGGAAGGCCTCCCGGAAAGCGCGAAGCCAAGGCACGCGTTTGCAGCCTCGTCGGAAGCCTAATTAGCCGGAATGGAGGCTCCCGGAGCCTGCTGCTCGGATTCCCACGACCCCCTGCACGGAGCCGGAACAAGGGCGCAACGTGGTTCGAACCCGTGCCTTGCCCCCCTGGGCTGGGAGAACCCTCGGTCGACAGGGACGGCCCGAGAGCTAGCCGCTCCCGGGGCCGTGTGAACGAGAGCCGTTCCTCCTAATCTCATTAGATCTGCAAAGCAGCCCCAATTAGAAGCCATAAAACAAACAGAATCGCTTTTGTCACTTTAATGTTTTCACTTCGGAGGATTTAGGGCCGATAAAACGGTTGGCAGGAGGCGGGGCCGGCCCGGGCGGCCCGCCTTTGATGCTTTCGGGGGCCGGCGGGGGCGCCGCGCGCTTGAATGCGGACGGCCCCGCTCCCCTTCGCAGAAGTGCCCGGGCGGCTCTGCGGGAGTGTCAGCGCCGCACTCTCGGCCGCCCCGACCTGCACTGCGTGGCATTCGCGGCGCCAGGGCAGCGTCTGGGCGCGCGATCGGGGCTGCTCCGAGGCCCGGCGGCTCAGGGCACTCCGGATGCCGCGCACCTGCGCCGAGATGGGGGGGGGGGCAAGGACAGCCGAGGCTCCCCTGTCGGAGGCGCTCCGCAGCTGCGCGCACCCCGCGGACGCGAGCAGCCGGCGGGGCCCTGCCAGCCCGCGGGGCGTCCCGCCGCTTGCCCTGCGCGGAATCCCGCGGGCGGCCGCCGTCCTGAGGCCGTGCGCAAGCGGGCGCCGATGCGGCTTGCTTGACGTTGGGGCGCCCCACGGCCCCGGCCGCGCTCCTGCCACCTGTCAGACGGGGCCAGGCCGGTTGCCCGGGGAGAGGCGGCTCCCCAGGCCCGCCCCGTCCCGCGACGACGGTGCCTCTGGCAATGTGCAGAGAGCCGTCTCCGCAGGCTTGGAGCGCAGGCGGCTCGACTTCCCGGGCCTCTGCTTGGAGGCTGTGGGCCGGGGTCGGCAAGCTCCGTGCAAGGCTGGCCGAGGCTACGGCGCCAATTTCATGGGGACGGAGCGCGGGAGGGGAGGCAAATCAAGCGGGCCGCAGCCAGAGTCTCCCCGCGCCCAGCGCCGCCAGACACAAAATGGCTCCTTCGCCTGACGTCACGGCGTAGGGCCCCGCCCGCCCCGTCTCGCCGCCCGCCCCACGTGGGGCTCGGCCGGGCGAGGGCGGGGGCGGCAGGCGGGGAAGGCCGCGCTCGGCCAATGGGGAGGGCGCCGGGGCGCCTCTCCCCGCCCATTGGTCGGCGCTGTTGGCGGCTGCCACTCCGGCTCGGGCGCCGCTCGTCAAAGCCACGCGGGGCTCCCGGCCGCGCTGACAAATGGGCGGCTTCCCTGCGCCTTCCCCGCCCAGAAGGGCCGCCTAATTATCCCTGATTGGCTGCTCCCGCGGCTCGGGCAACTTGCCTTGGCGAGCGGGGGCGGCCGGCGAGCCCCGCGGGAGGGAGACCCCGACGGGGCGGCCGCAGAGGGTGCCCGGCCGCTGCCCGGCCGTCGCCCAGCCCGCCCTGGATCGCGGCCGCCTCCCGCGCAGGGCCCCGCGCCTCGGAGCTGGCGGGTTTGCAGCAGCGCCGCTGCGCGAGGCACTCCGGGGAGGGGGCGCAGCGCGAGCTGGGGCTGCCCGGTCCGCGGCCAGGGCGCTGCAGCGGGCGGGCGGGCGCGCGGCCGTGTGGATCGCGCAGGGCGGCGCTCGGGCAGGGGCCAGGGCCAGCCGCAGCCGCAGCCCCGTGGCCACTCTCTGGCCGGTGCCCGCCGTGCTCCGAAGTGGAGCTTTCTTCACGAGGCATGGAAGAACGCGGGCACCCAAGACGTGAGCGCATCCTGACAAGGCGGCGATGACGAGATGGGGGAGAGTTAGCAGAAGGGCAGGCCCTTCATCCCCACGTGCACTTCTCACATGCCCAGAGACCCACCCACATCATCTGGCCATTCTGGCCTCACTCGCAAGACCTGCTCGTACCACTGGCCTTCCCCGGCATATTTTTCAGCTGCTGGAGGCCTTCAGAAGCCCCGTTGCCTGGTCCTCTCTTGAGCCCTGGACTGCCCCTCCCGAGCGCTGCCTGTCGAAGCCTCACGCTGCTGGGACAAGCGCTTGTGCCCGGCTTTGACACAGAGGGGGGCCTTGCAGGCAGCTTGCACAGGCTTGTGCTCACACCCACTTCGAACGAGGATGCTGCACTCGCTTCAGAGGGAGAAGAGAAGCTGCATCCCCAGCAGGGCCCTGGGTCCTCACACAGCAAGCCGTGGCCGAGCCGAGCCGAACCGAACCTTAAGGCGTGCCGAGCCTTAAGCGGCAATTGCTAGAAAATGGAGGGGATGGGAAATGAGTGGGCTGCAATCGGGATGCGCTCCTGTCAGCCTCTCCCCCAAAGCAAAAGGATGAAATGATAAGGCGCTCTTATCACATGCTTTCATCTTTGCAAGTATTGTCCAATGAGAGGCTGTCTGGTGCGGGAATTCATTCTTGTACCCTTTTTTTTAACTTTGGAAGCTATTTAATAAGCGAGCACAAAGTCTTTCAAAGAATATTAAAAAAAGAATAACTTTGGGTGTTTTTTCAGTCAGATTTTTAAAATCATGTCCATTACTGTGTTCCTGCACACAATCTATGTTACAGTTTTTACTTTCCCTTTCCAAAATGGTCCCTGTTTCAGTCTCTTGTGGGGAAAAAACAACGGCCTTATGACCTCTTAAAGATTGACTTATTTATTATGACATGTCTGGTGAGAATTTGACTTTTCTAGTTTTAGGAATCATCCAGATTTTTGGAGCATGTGAACTGTAATCCTTCATTAGTTTATTTTAGAGGTACATCCCATGGTGTTCCGTCAAGTGTCTTCCCAGGTTAGTATATATGGAATTGCCCCCAAAATCATGGATAGCTCAGATGTGGCAGAGTTAACTGGGCAAGCAAGCCATCTCTGGAATTAGCTAGAAAGCGGCTTTCCTTGCTGCCTGCCTTTGGCTAATTTCCTGGACTCCAGTGCCCACTCCTGCCTTGAGATGTGCTAATTGGGTGTTCCTCCGCTTTGGGAAAGTTTTTCCCCCATCCTGCAAGGTCGCAGCAGTGCTGCTATGAGGTAAGCTCCTGGCAAGAAAGAGGAGCTTGAAGCCGCCGTGCGATGGCAGCTCTGAGCTGGGCCCTCTCTCCGTCCTCCCCGAGAATCCGCACCGGGCTCTTCGGTTGCGAGAGGGTTCCCGTCAGCGCATGTGCTTGTATCAAGCATGGCTTTTCTTGACCTTTCTTGGGCCACAGCCCCGGTTTCCCTGAAGCTTTCCGAGCCATGTAAGCCCGGACTTCGGGCAGCAAGCAACACATAAAAGGTGCGAGGACAGATGGACCTGGCCCAGCACCTGAACGCTGCCGGAGCAAGCCCGGGTGGCGGCAGCAGCCAGAGAGACCGCGCCCGGCCTGCTCTCGTGCCCCCATGCTCGAGCACGGCAGAAGGAACGCCTCGGCTCACAGCAGGACGGGGCGCCTCGCAAAGCGCCAGCCTTGCGTCTTGGCCTGGCGGCTCACTGCGCTCCGGCCGGCGCAGGCAAAGAGCGCCTCCGTCGGCTGTGCAGTGTCCAGGACTCTGCTCCGGGCAGCACCTTCATGGGACGCAGGTGGTTGGCCCTCCGGCTGGGAAGCGGGACCTGGAGGCTTGGAGGGAGGGCGCCCTGCAGCCTCTGCGTCGAGGCTGGGAAGCAGAGCAGTGGCTTTGCATTCGGTCCAATCTCCAAAGAGGAGGGCTGCGAGAGCCGGTGGAAAGCCACCTTCCCCAAGCGTGCGCCCCCGGGTGGGCGAGGACCACAGCTCCCTGCCAGCTGTTGGCCATCGGCCATACGGTCTGGGAAAGCTGGGAGTTGCCGTCCAGTTCCAAACCACGATGGGGGTCTTCTCATAAGCAGTTGCTCCAAAGAAAAATCCCGTCTACAGTAGGGTTCCTTTCTCCACTCTGTACACAGTCACGCCTCCGAAACGACACAAATGCAAATCACATATTGTACCAGAAAGCATCGATACATAATGGAATCCACACAACAGGAATTTGTGTCTCGGATGCCAGCGACTATGCAAAAGTTGGTTTTGACCGTGCCGAGTCTTTATCAAGTTACTGTATGAAGAAGCTGAAAACCCTTCATGGAAAAACTTCTGCTTCATCTCCCATGGAGGCCGCCGTAAGGAGACCCTTCTGGTCTTTTCGCGATAACCAAAAGCATTAGGGCCTTTTTGTTCGGTTTGGTTTAGTTTTTTGGTGAGCATGCCTTCTCCTCAGACCTAGCAGGTGCCACTGCCTCGCCTCTTCCCCCGGGTGCCTACCTGGGAACGGCCGTGATGCTTGCATGCACACCAAATCTAGCAGGTAGGGACCGGACCGTGCAAGATGAAATCA